TTCTCTTCAGAGGAGTTCCAATTTTTAAAAGCCCTTCTTCTGATATAGAAATTAAAATCTGGACCAAATTTATCTCCTTAGATTATCTTAAATGATTTATTTAAGTAGATCAAGCACTTGTTTAAAGAAGGTGTTTAGAAAGAAAATATGGAATTTTGTTTTGTTTTTGAGTAAAAAAAAAAAAATTAAGGTTTCTGAATGTAAAATACATTGCCAAATATATTTTTGTGAATATCTGGAATAATGCCAAAACCATCCGGCAACACTGCAGCAACTGGTACCATTATAACACTGAATGGGTAGTGAGCAGGGTGTGCAGGGAGGGATCTTGGGAAAGATAGAATAAGTGACAAAATGGAATAATTGTCTCAAAGGAAAGGGCAACAAATGAAATAGTATAAGTGAAGAAGGGAATCCATGGGCAGGAAGAGTAAGAAGAAAACAGGAGTCATTTTAGTAAATCTTGTTACTTCCCCCAAGAAAAATAATTTTTTAAAAAGAAAAACCATAATTTGCCAAAATGAGAATGAAGTGGATAATTAAGCTCTGAACAAAAAGGACATAGAAAGGGAAGAGCAGCCTGCCGCCTACACAGTGCCCTTATCTCCTTCATGTGCACATGCAGGTCCTTACTTGCCAGGGACTGGCCCTTGCTGTTGTAATCGGATTCTACACTCCTGTAGAACAGACTATGGCCTAAAACCCTCACACATGCCTGTACATTTAGTTATGCAAGAGTTATCAGAGCTTAGTCTCCTCCATGCAGTCTCTTAAGGTTCACGAATTCTCACTGGCTATTAAAGTTTTCCAGTATGTAATAAATCACTGACAAGCAAAGATATTAGGAAAGAATATTAAGGAAAAGACAGAAAGACATCAGGAGGGAAGAATTCTTTCTAATTGATCTTCAACATTGTTATAATCGGAAACCTTGAGTAACAACACTGACCTCTTGGTATCATAAACACTTGTTAAGTGTCACCGAGTCGATTCTGACTCATAGTGATTCTGTACAAGGTTTTCAAACAGTGACTGGTGAGTTTGAACCGCCAACTTTGCAGTTCAAATCAAATCATAAACAGCAGTCCTCATCAAATTATAATGGCCATATGACTTGCTTGGGGATCTTGTTGAAATGCGTTTGATGATGCAGAAAAGCTGGTTTGGAGCCTGAAACTCTTCATTCTAATAAATCGGGCTGCTGTTGATGTTGTTGTTTGTGATTGTATGCTGTCCAGTCAACTCAACTCATAGCCACCCATGTGACAGAGCAGAACTGCCCCACGGGTTTCTAGACTGTTATCTCTACAGAAGCAAATTGCCATGTTTTCCCTCCCATGGCACCACTGGGTAGGTTCAACCTCTGACCTTTTGGTTAGCAGCCTAACAGTTAACCATTGTATCATCAGAACTCCTTAACAATATTCTACAGTTGCCTTCATAGTGACCTTGTGTTGTTGTTGTTAAGGTGCCATCGAGTCAGTATCAACTCATAGTGACCCTATGCCCAACAGAACAAAACACTGCCCAGTCTTGGGCCAACCCCACAACCACTGCCACGCTTGATTCCATTGATGCTGACACTTTGCTAATCCAGCTCGCTAGGGGTCTTCCTCTTTTTCTCTGACCCTACATCTTACTAAACATGATATCCTTCTCCAGCGACTGGTCCCTCTTGAAAATATGTCTGAAATATGAGAGACCAAGTGTAGCCATCCTGGCCTCCAAGGAGCACTCTGGCTGTACTTCTTCCAACACTGATCTATGTTGGTCTATGTACAGATTCCTCATGAGCACAATTAAGTGTTCCGGAATACTCATAATTCGCAATGTTGTCCATAGCTTGTCATGATCCACACAGTCAAAAGTCTTTGTGTAGTCAATAAATCACAGGTAAATATCTTTCTGATATTCTCTGCTTTCAGCCAAGATCCATAGGACATCAACAATGGTATCCCTTGTATCCTATAGGGTCATTAGAAGTGCTGATGGGGCACATCTAGTGACCTTATGTTGTTGTTCTTGTTAAGTGCCATTGAGTCAATTCTGAACCATAGTGACCCTATATAGTGTTTCCAAGGAGCAGCTGGTGAGCTTGAACCCTGACTTTGCAGTTCAAACAACTTTGCAGTCTGATGCATTAGCCCACAGCGCCACACCAGGAGTCCAATAGGACAGAGTAAAACTGTTCCAGAGGATTTACAAGGCTGTAATCTTATACAAAGTCACTCTACCGAAAATAATTGATCAACCTTCAGCCATATCAGGATCGAGAACATGTAGTACTGAAAGGAGAAATCCAAGCTACATTCATGGCATTAAAGGGAAAACGTGGTACAGGAATTAATGGATTACGAACTGAGATGTTTTGAAAACTGGAGGCAGCACTGGAAGCATTTGTCTATGTCAGGAAATTTGGGAAACAGCTACGAGGTCAATAGACTGGAAGTGATCCATATTTGTGTCCATTCAAAAGAAACCTGATTCAATACAATGTAGGAAGTATCCAATAATATCACTAATATCACATGCAAGTAAAAGTTAGCTGAAGATACTTAAAAAAAAAAATTTTTTTTTTTCAGCAAATACATCAACAGGGAACTACCAAAAATTCAAGCTGGATTCAGAAGAAGACAAAGAACCAGGGATGCCAATGCTGATATCAGATGGATCTTGGCTGAAAGCAAAGACATTCAACTGCATGTTGTTGTTGTTGCCATTGAGTCAGTACAGACTCATAGCAACCCTATGCACAACAGAACAAAACATTGCCCTTCTTCTACGATCTTTCTTTTTCAATGTCCAGCTTTTAGAATATAACAAATTATGGATAACATTTTGAAGACTGTAAATTTCAGGACACTTTATTGTGCTCATGTGGAACCTGTACATAGAACAAGAGGTGGTAATTCCAATGGAACAAAGGAATATTCGTATTGATGTTAGGTACCATCGAGTCAGTACTGACTCATAGAGACCCTACGCTCAATAGAATGAAACACTACCCATTCCTGGGCTGACCTCACAATCATTGCTACTTTTGAGCTCATTGCTGCTGCCACTGTGCCAATCCATCTTGTTTTTTTTGGGGGGAGGGGGAGTCTTCCTCTTTTTCTCCAACTCTCCACTTTACCAAACATGATATCCTTCTCCAGTGACTGGTCCTTCTTGATAATATATCTGAAATACGAGAGACCAAGTCTGGCCATCCTGTCTTCCAAGTAGCATTCTGGCTGTACTTCTGCCAACACAGACCTATTTATTCATTTGGCAGGCCATGGAACTTTCAATATTCTCCTCCAACACTATAATTCAAATGCGTCAATTCTTCTATGGTCTTCCTTATTCACTGTCCAACTTTAGCATGCATATGAGGTTATTGAAAATACCATGACTTGGGTCAGATGCACCTTAGTCCTCAAGCTGACATCTTTGCTCTTCAATACTTTAAAAAGGTCTTGTGCAACAGATTTTCCTAATGCAATACGTTGTTTAGTTCATTGACTGCTACTTCCATGAGTGTTTATGATAGATGGAATCAAAATGAAGTCTTTGACAGTTTCAATCTTTTCTCCATTTATACGGATGTTGCCTATTGGTCCTGTGTTGAGGATATTGCATGCATGTTGCATGGTTTAAAATAAGGAGACGTGTGTATCAGGGTTGTACCATTTCATCATATTCATTCAAACTGTATGATGAGAAAATAATATGAGAAGTTGAACTATGTGAAAAAGAACATGCCAGCAGTTTTAGAGGAAGACTCATTAACAATCTGCAATATGCAGATAACAACCTTGCTTGCTGAAAGTGAAGAGGATTTGAAACAATTACTGATGAAGATCAAAGACTATAGCCTTCAGTCAGCATGGATTGCACCTTAGCATAAAGAAGCATCATGACCAATACACAACACCATGATAAACAGAAAAGTAGGGTATAGAGCACCCTAGTGAACCCTGAGTGAATCAGAGTGACACAACAGTGAATGTGCAGATGTTCGAGTTTCTATGTGTGCCCAGAAGCACATTCTTTCCTCTGGGTACATACAACAGAGAGAAAGCAGAAAGCAGGAATCCGTCATTTATTATTGCATGTTATTCTGCTTTCCAAGAGTTCAGAATTATTGAAGTTTCTCCTTAGGACTTGCAGGGAGATGGAATTCTTCTCTGTATATGAGTGTGCCACAAAGCAATACCAGATGTAGGTAGCCCCTGTTAAGGAAGTGTAATTTAAGGACTCCGAGGAGTTCTAACATGATGCATTGGGTGATATCAGAGCATCCTTTACAACCTTTTCTTCTCTTAGTTAATCCTTCTTCAACAGTGCAAATTGTACTTGTCTCTGAATCGTGCCCAACCTGAGTATCAAGGGATTTCGGAAAGGTCTGGTAGTTAAGCAGAAATATTGAAAAAGTGCTAAAAACACAGCTGCAGAATCAAGGCTAATGATTTAACCCTAAATTTTTTACACACTCTAAAGATATTCTTGATATAGAAGTTTCCTCCCTGTTCCTTGGTGAGGGTAAACCCTTCTCTACAAATCAGAGGCTAATAAATAGTATTGTTGCTGTTAAGTGCTGTATAAGGTTTCTGAGGAGTGGCTAATAGCCTTAGTGAAAAGAAAATGATTTGGCCTCAAGTGAAGAATCTGAATGAACAGCCCAAAACCAGTTGGGGGCGGGTCTCCTCCTTAGTCCCTTGAACAGAAGTCTCCTGTTGCATGCCTTGGTGTGGGTGTCTTCAAAGGTTGCTACCTAAATTTGCATACTTCCTGACAGACAGAACACTCCTGCGAGAGCCTCAAGGCCAGGGTGGTGAGTGTCAATGGGAGGAGTAACCGAGTTTCACTTCCTTGCCAGTTGGAGACTCAGAGCTACAGCCAAGCTTGTCTCTGACCAAAGAACAACCAGAGAGATTGAGGAACAGTTGAGCCCATCTCCCTCAGTGTCTTCCCCATAGCACCTAGCAGGGACTCTGTGGATGTGAGGAGCCTGAGGAGCACGAATGGGAAGAGCAAGAACATTAGAAAGGAAGATGAGCAGCCGGGATCCCTCAGACCTGTGGAGCAGATTGGATGGAGAAGCCGAGTTGCTCCAAGACTTGGGGTAAGAGAGCAGATCTACATTTCAAAGTGCTTCTTGGGTAAACACTAAGCCCCTGCCCCTTCTCAAATACGTCTTTCAATTAATAATTATCTTCAGCACTCTGTTTTTGTCTGCCATTCCTGATCTTATAACTCATATCTTTGCATTTTACTGGTTTGTGTCTGTTAGGTATCTTCCTGTTTTGAAACTAATTGCTACATAAACACATGTATTGTTTTTCCAGATGTGAAAACACTTATATTGAAAAAAATGAAACAAAAATCCTTTGTTGGGCATTATTTGAGAATTGGAATATATGTGTTGATTGTGCTTAACTTACTTGGCACTGATCTGGGTAATGAGTTGTTCAGGGGTTTCAAACGCTGCGCTTTTGAGAGTATGAAGACTATCTTGCTGGTAAAAATAACTGAAAGTCTACACTACTGTAAACCAGAGGGACTTTTTCAAAAGAGGAAGGAATGAGGCAGTGTCTGTAACAATTTCTCATATATGTTTCTTTCTCCAGACACTGAATTTGGGAGCTCTTGTGTATACCTCTGTCTATAGGGGCAACTTCAAGCCTTTCAAATATTAACAATTCAGGAAGAGAATAAAACAGTTCTGAAAAAAGTCTGCCTCAAACTGATGATAAATTTAGTAGGTAGAATCATCCCAGTTTTTTCTTTAAGAGGGGCCCAGATGAGACAATTTATCAAGATATTTAATAAAAAGAAGCAAGTATTGCACAAGACAGGGGATTTCCTAGAGAACCTAAACTATAGCCCAGCCAGGCTGGTTTTGACACCTGTGATTCAGGAAAGGTGAAACCTGACTTTTCAGTCTTGATTCATAGCTCTGAATCTTTGCAGTAACCCAATGACATAGGAACCCTTATCATTTTCATCTTACAAAACATAGAAAATGAGCACCACAGGGCTGGATAACTTACCATGCATCAGTCAAATACAGAGCAGGGATTCCAACCTGTCAAAGCCTGTTTTCCTAGCCATGAGAAAGATAAAATAAGAATAACTTCTCTCACTGTTGAGACTGCAAAAATTGCATGTTTTTGTGTGTGTGTGTTGTGTTGTGGAGTTGTAAGATTAGCACTGGACTGTTAGCCACAAGGTCATCAGTTCAAATCCACCAGCCACTCCTTGGAAACCCTATACAGGGTCGCCATGAAATGGAAATGACTCAGTGGTACTCAACAACAACAACCATAAAAATTCTCCATAATTTCTGCCTTTTGATTTAAAAGTTGAGCTCTTACACTTGAACTGTACCTTCATATAATAAATCAGTATATAAAAGGTAGAATGTTCAATAAATTTTTTTTATAAAAACAAACAGTTGCCATTGAATTGATTTTGGCTGGGGGTGACCCCATGTCAGAGTAGAACTGTGTTCCTTAGAGTTTTCAGTGATTGTAAGCTTTTGGAAGTCGATCACAAGGCCTTTCTTTGGAGGCATCCATGGTTGGACTCCAACCTCTAACCTTTCAGTTAGCAGCTGAGCCTGTTAACTGTTTATACCACCCAGGAGCGCCTTTAATAAAGTAATCACCCCTTACTGGGAAATGTGGGATCCTGGAACTCTCTACCCTTCTAGAATGAATTTCTGAACAGAAGAAATAAAATGGCCCTGTGTAACCAAAACAAAAGGAGCTCTGGTAGCATAGTGGTTACGAATCGGGTTGTGAACCGCAAGGTCAGCAGTTCAAAACTACCAGCTGTTCTGTGGGAGAAAGATGAGGCTTTCTGCTCCCGTAAAGATTTACAGCCTCTGAAACCCTGTGCAGGGTCGCTGTGAGTCGGGACCGACTCCATGGCGCATAACAACAACAAAAACCAAAACAAATGTTACGAAGTTTAGGCACTACAGCCAGACTATTACACTCTCACTCAGAGACTTAATGAATCATTAATCTGTAATTCTTATGTGTCTGATAGTCTGTATTCCCAGACTCGTATAGATGAGAGTAGTCACTGGGTGGCGGCGAAACTCTTAATTTATATAAATGAAACTCTTATTCTCTGAACCATTAACCAACTGGTGACATATAATTTATACCAAAACGTCTGATTAGTTCTGTTGGGTTTTGTCTTTTTTTTAAATCTTGATTTTAAAAAATGGTTTGTTGTTGTTGTTGGTAAGTGCCGTCGAGTCGGTTCCGACCCATAGCGACCCTGTACAGGGTTTCCGAGGGTGTAAATCTTTACGGGAGTAGAAAGCCTTATCTTTCTACTGCGGAGCAGCTGGTAGTTTATATAATTTATACCAAAACGTCTGATTAGTTCTGTTGGGTTTTGTCTTTTTTTAAAATCTTGATTTAAAAAAATGGTTTAGAGTAATTAATAAAAGGTTGTTGTTGTTGTTAAGTGCCATCAAGTCTGTTCCAATTCATATCAACCCTGTATAGTGTTTCAGAAGAATGGCTGGTGGATTTGAACTGCTGACCCTGCTGTTCAAACTGACCTTACGGGTCAGTTCTTATCCTACAGTGCCATAGCTGATGTTAATAAATTGATTTTTTAAATTTAATAAGTTATTTGAGTAGTAAATGCTTATGTTTATATTCCTGACAGATATAAACAAATAATTTATTGGTTGAATTAGTGAGATATCATAAGACTAAAGAGCTCTGGCAGTGTAGTGATTATGAGTCAGGCTGCTAACCTCAAGGTCAGCAGTTCAAAACTACCAGCAGTTCTGCATGAGAAAGATGAGGCTTTCTGCCCCATAAAGATTTACAGCCTCCAAAACCCTATGCAGGGTCGCTATGAATTAGAACTGATGCCACAGCACACCAATATCACAAGTCTACCTTTATTCTTTGATTCCCTTATTTCTTTCTTGGAACGTATATATTGAACTATGAGTTGCAGTAATTCCATCATTTATCTTTCTAGGACATGCACAACTTGCTCATTTTCTAAAGTGTCAAATCAAGTAACTCATATACATTTCCATGTCTCATTTCTAGAGTAACAGTCAAAAATGTGTCTCTTTCATACTAAACGTATTAATGTTCTTAAATAGTCTAAATAGTGTCTAAAAGTGAAGCAAGAAAAAAATCATCTTAAATTGTTGCTCAGCTTCAGTTACGATTTTGTGGTGAGGGATCTGGGGGAGGACATGAGGAGTACTTGCAAGGTTAAGGGGAAAAAGTGAATCCGAGACTGATCCATGAGAAGAATGAGATGGAGGAACAGTGGCAAAGCTGTACCTTTCAAAATGAAGAGATGGGAGGATCAAACAAGAAATATACACTAAAGACATTAATAAACTAGCATAGAATTACTAACCAATTAATAATTTAAAATTCAAATATTTCTTCACCTATAACAGACATTCCTACAAATTAAATTATACTAGGGGCCTTCAACAGTCCATGGAAAAATTCTATTACCTTTTCATTATATTTTTTGTATAATTATAGACACAAAAATGAAATATTTTCACACTTATTTAAGGTAAATATTCAAATTAGTCAGTTGTAGTCTCACAAGTGAGAAATCTAACAAATATTTCATTTGTTTTACTTTATATACTTTCTCAAATCTCAAAATGTATAGACATTTTGAACCAAAATGTCTGACTGCATCAGCCAGAGTCAAGAAACTAGTTTAGACATCTGGATGTTTATTTAAAACAATAGCTCAAAAAGCCTTTAATCCTCTGTTGCTTAGCCTTCAGAAATGAGAGAGGTTAGGCTAAATCAGGGGGTCAGCAAATTTGTTCCCTAAGAGGCCACAGAATGGATTAGGCTTTGCATGCAATCACTATTGTTACCACTCACATCTGATAATGTCATGTGAAAGAGATCATAGACAATCAAGCCAGAAATTAACATTACTGTGTTTAAAAAAAGAAAAACTTTATTACAGGCTCGGAAATTTAAATTTCATAAAATTTTCAAGAGTCACAAAATTTTCTCTTTTTTTCCTCAACCACTTACAAATGTAAAGCTATCCTTAGCTTGTAGTCTATACGTGAACAGGTGACAGGCAGGAATTGTCCCTCTGATGGTGGTTTCCTGACTGCTGGGATAGAATGAGAGTTACCAAAATGAGCCCTAATTATAAAGAAGAAATTTTACATATACAAGGGTAAGTTAAAAAGTATTGCTTCTAGGGCTCCAGTTCAGACATTCACGAGTTAGTCCCAAGCAGAAACATGCTTAAACATGTTTCTGCAATCAGTGGATGGCTACAGACAAGTTCTCTCAGTAATTGACCTGTCTTGGTCTCATTAGATTGCCTTCAAAAATAAAAGGTTTAATCAAAGGGGATTTGTTGGGCCCATCAAATTCAATGCAGAGGTTAGCTCAGAAGGTTATGGTGACTTTTGGGGATCCCAAAGGGTTGATCTTTATAGATTTTCTTGAAAGATATAGGACTATCACAGAGGTTTATTAGAAATAAATGTTTAAAAAATATTGAAAACTGAGTTGATAAAAAAAAGTCCAGAAAAGTTGCACTAAGGAATTTTTTCCCATCAAGACTTGCTCAATGCTTGAAGGATAGCAACAGCTGTCCTAAACCTTACCAGTTCACCCTTCAGCCCTGATCTTGTCCCTTCAGACTTCTTTATAGTCTCCAAACTCAAAGAACATTAAAAGTAACACAATCTGGGCCTCTCTAAGACATCAAAATTGTTGTTTTGACTTAGTATAAATTGAACAGTACAGAATTCTTCAGGAAGGGTATGAGAGAGAGAAACATCATCTTCAGAAGTGTATAGACCTAGATGGAGTATATGTAGAGAAACAATAACATCACATTTTGAAATTTTTGTTTAATAATGTACACAGCGATGATTTTGTAGCAGTCTTTTTTGACTTACCTTCAGTGAGTAAAACCTGTGAAAATGAAGCGTGTAAAGCAGAAAACTGTCCGAGAAGGGAAATTCAAATGTTTCCCACTAAAACAAGTGATAGAAAAGTAATAAGACCACTACTGTAAAAAGTCAAGAAAAGGTTTTCATTCTATAATAACCATTCTATGATGGTTACTAGG